CAATACAGATCTTAGAATAGCCTGCCACAGAATTGGAGGACAGCTGGGTTGAAAAAAGACTCTGGAGATTAACTCTTCCTCCACCCCTCCTTTTCTGTTCTAACATGGTCAGCTACAGCACGTTTCCAAGGACCACATCRTCAAGTTTTGAATATCTCCAAAGATAGAGACTATGTACCCTCTCTGGGCAACCTGTTCCAGCTCCCATCCAACCTCACAGCCAGGAAGTGTTGCGGTCTTATGTTCASCTGGAAGGTCCTGAGGACTGCTCACAGTTATTATTACAATCACAATTACAAACTACTCGGCAGTTCAGCCAGTTTTTCCATCCACCTCACTGCTTGGGCAATTGGGCCCATAATTGCTTGGACAAAAGGGCTTCATTCCAGGTCATTGCCACTGCTTTCTCTAARGAAGAGTTTGGCCTGATCCAAGATGAACTCAGCTCAGACTTCATSTATGTTTCACTAGTGCCCTGAAAGGAGAGGGAAGAAGAGGCAGAGATGAATTGAGTGTACATAAAAATCTTCTTTTTGTGTATTTAGGAATGAATATGAACAGATTTAAAATTAACCAGCTTAGTTTACTGCTGGCCAAGTGATCTAAAACGTTCAATAAATAATTCATCCCAGCAACTCACATCCCTGTGTTGCTAGGCCTATGACGCAGGCCATATCAGGGGGTCTTGTTTAGCGTAAAAGAGACAACTTAATTCACTATGAAGTGAATAATCCAAAATCCCATAAATGATTCATCACTGGATTAAAAGCTATGGATTTCTCCATAGAAATTCTCTGTGTGACATTAAATATGCATATGATTGTGTGGTGTGTTAACTACCCAATGGCTTAGTTAAGAATGAGTCCAGCTCTGGTGTTTGAAAGTAACTCTGAAGCTATGAATCTTATTAGATGTACATCTAAGCATGAAAAGAGGTTATCTTCAAGGAGTTGTGCTATAACRTTAGTAATAAAAAAGAGAAGATAAACTTCATACACTTGGTTTAGATTTGGCCAAGCAGATTTAGGTCCTAGAAAAGAGCAAGTATTGCCTTCCAGCTACATTTGTACCAACATAGGTTCATTAGTATCGCCAGAACTACATGGATGTGCGAGAAGGATGAGCTTTGGTCCTTCTCCACATCTCAAAGAGATGGGAAAAAAAAAAAAAAAAAAAAAAAAAGTCCAGTGAGATCTCTTTTCCTTTTAAAGAAAACATGCATTTTATAATTGCCTCCTCAAATCCTGCACTTTATCCAGTCCTCTCGGTGCCTTTTTCTGACAAGATTGCAGCCATCTCCCCAGTGATGTGACTTCTTACCTTCACTTCAGATCAGTGGGAGCTCTTACACTGAGGCAAGTCATAGGGTAAGAAAATGAAGAATTCTCTGTAGGAAGAAGCCACTCCAATTTCAGTACCTTAGGTCTGAGCATACCCTAAACTCATCATTCTGAAGGTCTCTTGCAGAGACTATCCCCCTTATTATTTTTTCTCCTTTTTTAATTAATTTTAGGACAGGTGGAAGTGGGTGTGGGGACAAGAGGCAGGATGGTTAGTGGCCACATTTCCTTTGCTAGTCACAGTGCTGGCCTGTGCACTTAAGTTAGCAAGGGCACCCAAAGCCGCACTGCTCCTGGTGGGGATTAGAAATCGGAAGGAAGAGCAAACCACAAGTGCATGGGCACGATGTCCTGCGGAGCACAGAGGAGCAAGCGTCACCGAGACCTGCAGGAAATTATTTAACCACAAGCTCAACAAAAGAGAAGCAGGATGCCTCAGTCAGTGGCTAGGYCAAGTCTGCCAAAAATGCCCCAGGCCACGGGTCCAGCTCTCAGCCCAGGATCTCTGTCTCCATGAGAAATTTCTGCATCTATTGTACTTGGGAGCAGTGAATCTGTTTCATGTTTTAGAGTCTCTTCCAACTCCAGCAGGTCCTCTGCTTCATCTCTGCAGCTCAATTTTGCCACCTGCTGTCATGTCCATGGCAATACTTCCCCTTTCCTTTTTCTACTAGGATAAAACTTTCCATTTTTTCATGCATTCATCTCACACTGTGTGGTTATCTCTGTTGCTTCCCCAAGTCCCAMGATGCTATTTATTCTTATTTCCTATGTACTCATCCACATTCTCCTCTTTGGCTTACTGTTTCTTAAGCTCCAATTAGATTCTACCTCTGAAACCCAGAGATTTATTTATATTAACCTTAAAAAAAAAAATGACTAGAAAAGCACATTAAGGCTTGCAAACAAACTCAGAGTAATGAAATATGCTGCTGAGAGGGAAAGGAACCATCAGGGCAATCAGTTCCAATAACATCTATTAAGAGAGGCCTCATTAATCTCAAAATAATGTTTTAATTCATTCCCCTTGTTTCTTTTTAAAGGATTTATATCCCTTTCTCAACTTCTGCTTATTTCTTTTCCCAGTATCATTCCCCTATTTTCTCACTGGCAATCACATGTCTCAGAATGCTTAGATCCTCCTTTTTAATTACTTTGCTCTACCATCTCTACACTAATCAGGTGTTCAGTTATTAGCTCTTCATATCAGACCTCCTTCAGACAATTTCATCTATCATTCTGGTACAGACCATTGTCCACCCACAAAGTGCTGGGGTCCACCGGAAATTATTGCAGTGATGAAAAGCTGAAAGTCTTTCATTAATTAACCRCATTCTCTGATGGAGTCAAACTCCCTAGACATAACACCATTTAGGCCTAATGAAGATTTCAAATTAAAACCCACCAACTTTATTGGTGCCACCCAATAAACATGCAAATAGTTTTAGCAGGCCAGAGCTTAAGGGAGAGTTAAACCTTGATGATTTCTGGTCTTCATGTTTTGCAGCAGGAAAGGTGGTGATCTTGGTGGATTCAAATCTGGGGGAAATGCCTGGAAATTTCAAAACAAAYGGCTTTCCCTGTTGGCAGGTCGCCAGAAGATGCAGAGCCAGCAGGGAGGTGTGTGCACAAGGCAAGACAGGAGAAGGGACACCCACTGCCCCAAGTTCAGTAGGCAGCAACAAGGACAGGAAAACACAGCACCACTCTCTATAGCTCTGGTCGCAGGCTCTAAGTCCTTCCCTATGGGCAAGCGGGAACAGCAGGAGCGAAAGGGGAAGTCAGGAGGCACAAACGGGAACAACCCCAAACATGCAAGAGGCCAGAGCTCTCGCTGGGGACTCCCAGGCCAAGTTCAGCACTTAACATGGGATGTCTCCATCGGGAGCCTTGGCAGCTCTGCTGCCACATGGACATTGCTCAGTTGGGACCTGGCTTTAGAGAGCCCCCTGAGCAATATGCCCTACAGCAGCAAGGCTTTTTTTCTCAAGCAGCTCATCGTAAAATCAGCTTTTTCTTTATGTTCTTTGAGAGATGTACCTGCCTGATTTTTTTTTCTCCCTGTTGTTCCTTGCAGATCCATGTGAGATTTGCTCCTGGAAGCAGCGCTGGGAGCCACGCTGAGGCCAGCCCGCAGGCTGCGCCCCGACCCTGGGACAGCCAGCGCTGACCAGCCCGTGTCAGCGAGTGACCCTGACCCCGGCTCACGTGCCTAGGGGCCACATCCTCCCCTCGGCTCTGCTCCCCGCTGGCGCCGCGAGACCGGCCGAGCTGCAAGACCCTGGGAGCCAAGTGAGCTTCAGAGGGATCCYGAGGAGGAACTTCCCCAGCCGTCCCTGGGCAAACCACAGCATGGGCCAGGAGAAGACACTGCAGCGTCAACATGTCTCACCACAGCCCCAAGTGTGACTGAGGGGAAGTCCAGGGCTGCCGTGCCATGCTTGCTTCTGCTCGCATGCTGTGTGCACAACATGCTTTTGCTTCCAGAGCTCACTGCCTGCACTTAACGCACCAGGATTTTCTCCAAGAGCTTTCTCCCATGCAAGCCTTTACCCCCATCACTGCAGCAGAGCTGCAGCTGCAGGTGTTAAAGCTCTGCAGCGTATCCCAAAGCTCTGCAGTGTATCCCAAAGCTCTTCCTTCCTTCCTGAGCCTCCATGGTCAGTCCTGCTGGGGTRGTTCCCCAAAGGCTCTTTACCCCACGCAGTTTGTTTCCTAAAGCTTAAACCTTGACCCAGCTGAAGTACATGCAAAATTGCCCTCATGAAGGTGTGATTAGCATCATGAAATGCTGCCTGTCCAGCTGTTTTTCAGCCACCCAAAGGCTYCAACTTTCTGAGCTGAGAAGAAGGTGCTATGCATGCTGTTATCACTACAGGCAGCACTTACAGGACTCAGAAAGGACAGGGAAGATTTCGTAACATCTCTCTTGAGGATGACAGTGCTGTGCTGCTCGCAGCTCCTGCTCCGGCAGCCCGCGGTCAGGCTGAGGCTTGTGGTCCAGGTCAGGCTGGTCCCTCTGCGYCTGTGTCAAGTACGTGCTTGCCCATCTGGTGCAGACCGCCCTGTCTCCATCCCCAGCATGAATCCTCAGCACAAACACAGGACTGGGCACGAACACAGCCACTGCTTGCTTGCCAGCTCTGCAGTGCCAAAGTCCTGSGAATAAGGACGGCAGATCCTGCTGCTGCCCCTGGGATGGGGTAGGTGCAGGCAGGCATCTTGTTGTGGATAAACTCTACCCTCTATAACGCCAGTGCCCTCCCTCCAGCTCTTCTGCCTCACTAGAAGAAGCAGAAATAAAAATAAAAATAAATAAAAATTGCATTTGCTGACTTTTTTTTTTCCCACTTCAAAATTAGGCAGCATTCCTTGCTATATCTCCTGTCTTCGGTTCTTCACAGCATGGGCAGTAATCAGTCAAGCACACTAGTAAAAAATGAGAAAAAAACAAATTTAATTCTGTAACACAGCATTAATAAGAAAACAGACTCCAAAAGCAGCTGTAAATAATGAGTAGAGTATATTCTAAAAGAAAATTCTTTATGCAATTAATTTTAAAGGTGATGTGGCAAATTTTGGTGATTTCAAGGTGATTTCAAATTTTCACAGCTCAAGCTTTGGCTTTGTTTTATACCCACAGATATTTTGGAAGCACATAACAAATGAACCTTCTTTCCCAATGTAACATTGAGCAACCCMTTTTTATTTGCAATGCAGCTATACTTTCTTCAGACGGCATCTGCAGATGGGAGCTGTTCACAAGGCAAGGAGGCCGTTTTCTCCTTCAGCACCACTAAAAACTTTTTCAAGCTCTTCTTTTGGTCCAGGCCTGTAGTAAAAAACACAGATCACTATGTATGGGGCAAACACAAGTATTGCTCCTGCAGAGCATCCTTTCTTAAWTGTAACATTTGCAAATTCCTGTGGAAACTGAGACCAGAAACTACTTTGCTGACTTAAAAAGTGCAATAGCTGTGTATTTACACCAGGAAAATATTTATCTTATATACATTATTCTAAAGCATATGAAAGGGCTGTAAGATTTGTGGTGGAAGGGTTTGGTTGGCTGCACTGCTGTAGTGAGACCTTCATGGGRCCAATTCTCTTTGTCTGTGAATTGCCTTTTTCCAGTGGAATCCCTAAGGAATATCATCCTAAGCACTCATGATCATGATAATCATTGATTATCTTGGTTTATACCATCATTGCAGATGACGAAAAAAAGTCACATCCTGATATTTGATCAAAGCATAAAATAGATCAAATGTTCCCCTAAACTGGAGTCACTTCATTACAGTCAGCACCAGGTCAAACTTTCCAGTTGTTTGCTACCTATTTGTCACTCTGTATGAGCATTTTACAGGAACCACTGTTTTGTTTTCTAAAACTCTTATAACTCAATTTGAGTGGTTAGAGCCACAAACCAAATCTACACCCACCGCGATCAGTGACAAATACCTTCTTGGTTCTAAGACAAATTAGCWGGAAATAATTGGGATTATTAGTAGAAGATACCAAAATGTGTTACCTTTTTGTTATACATCTCTTTGAGTATTTACCTAGAAATAAAATAAAGTTAATTTCACAATGGCAAAATAAATAAATAAAGCTATAATGAAGTAGTCAAATGGATTCAAAAAAAAAMCATAGTTGAGAATGAGGAGAAGCAGGGTCCATCCCTCCTGGCAGTGCTATATGTAATGATGGGCAGACCCTGATATCACCAACAGCAAGGACAAATGAGCTTTCAGGATGGCCTGACACATACGTTAGGGTGGTCTGAATTCCTGATGACAGAGAAGATTAACCAAAGATACAGAAGGACCTCTGTATTAAGCTTGTATTAGAAGCATTAACAAGCTATGGGATACTTACATAGCAGTACTGAGAGCATCAGCATGAGAAAGATGAATGCTCCTGCAGAACAGGTGATGAGAACAACCTGGTTTGAAAACTGGAAAGGACAAGAGAAAATGGAAAGTGTTTTAAAAGTGCTTTACTTTAGATCTGCTCATGGAGGTCTGTGTTGTCCCAGTAGCTAAGAGCTCTGCAATAGCTGCCCTGAGCTGGCATTTCCAACACTTTTCTGAGTTTGTGTGTAGAAAGTATGGAGAGGACATATGAGAAGAGGAGTAAAATGAATTATAGGTTAAATATTTAGTACTTYTTGCTCTGAATCAGTTGGGCCTACATTTATCCATCTTACATGAGATTCTTAAGCTGTTTTTAACAAAATTAAACTGTTCTGAAAGAAACTCTTCCTGAGTTGCTAAATAAAAATTCAAGCTACTAGTTTGCAAACACCATCTGTCTAACTTGAATGAATTAAAAATCAGTAGCAAGTTCTACCATCCTCCTGGTCTCTAGTTAACCAAACATTTTTAAAACTTAGAGGAAGTTTTACCTGATAATCATCATTTTTCATAACCTTGCTGCTTGAACTTCCTGAAATATCTGAAAAGAAAAGAAACTGAAATAATTATTACTGTCACAGTCAGCTGAATTAATTTCATAAAGAGGAAGCTTCCCAGTGATAGCCCATGAAGAACAACAAAAGAAACTTGTCTCCTGGGGCAGTTTTTATTTCTGTAAGCAACAAGATGTCGTGGAGAACATAGCAAAAGAGATACAAGAYTAGTGAAGGATCCTCCTCTGTTTAACTGTGGTCAGTTATGTGTGATCACATATTATTATCAAGAATCTTGGGACATATTTTCAGGTTCAGATAATTTTTTTACAGATCTAAGACAGCTCTATGAAAATGATTCATGCCTGTTTTAGGATATTCTAGTTTACCAAGGTTTGAATATGGGGATAATGCTCAAGAACTCTTGCAGCTAACTTGTCTATTATTATCCTATGATCCTACTATCTTTTGCTCGTGAAATTAAAGTCACAACAGGGTGATACCGTCTTGCCATCAGTTCCTGGTGACCTTCCACTACAAGGTGATGAAATATTGAAGTATTTGGAACACTGAGACAATCACAGGGAGTGCTCCATGCTTCACAGCATCTTAAAAACAATTGAAGACAATCAGCTTGAATTGAAATCTCACTCAAATTGAAACCTCAGCTTATATTTTGCTCTAGGTGAGCATTGTACATGCTSTAACACATAGAAAGATTGTGAGGAATAGTGGTTTCTAAGGTTTGATAAAAGAACAACTGCAGAGCCACCATACCAGCAGTGTTTACTTGGGGATTAGATGAGTCATAGTTGCCTGGGCATGTGTGACAAACGTTATATGCCTGAGACCACATCTAAAGGAAATGCTAAATGCATGAGAACCCCCAGAAAGTTGCACAGTGGTGGTAYGATCAGATGCCCACCAGTGTTGTTGTTACAAGAACTGAAGAAATTGCTGTCCCTTCAGGAACTGTGTACAAGTAATTGTCCATTCCAAAAAAATCCAGTGTGTCAGTGACCAAGATAACGTTTAGTGTTCAAATTACTCTACAGTGTTTTCTCATATTATGGGTGTTTGTCCTTGGAAATAACAAAGTTTTTCACACTAGTTTTTCACACGGGTGGGAGTAAGCGATGACTCACGTAAGCGTGGTGTATTGTTTGCTGCTATTCATATTATGGTTACTCTTTTTAGCCCTAGTGACAATATGTGAGTTGCCCCAAGAATTCTAGCGCTAAGATCCTTTCTCAAACTCCTTATTTTGCTTTTATATTATGAGACTGAATAGAGTTGTTCTCTGAGGTGGTTCCTGTGCTCGCCTCAACAGTCACGGAAAGACAGGCAGATATTTCAGAGCAGGAGATTAGCAAGAGTATTTCTGCTGCCTATTGCATCTAGTCTTACTTTACAGCAAAGTACAATAAACTTCTGCTTTTTAAGTGAAGTGGCGTATGTGCGTTCTTCTTTCTGCCATATAGCTAGACCTACTGTTCACACAGAGCACATCCAGATATGTTTCCCGTGGCCTACACATACCTTTTACAAGTGATGCCACCCCAGGACAGCCAGACCAGCCATGCGCATGCAAAGCAACTGCTGTGCTCCTGCTGTTGTCTACCTGACCTCCATTCCCTGCTACAGTAAAGAGGCTGTGGGTGCCTAGGGCACAAAGCCCTGAGTAAAACCCAGGCCATGAGTGCCTCAGGCCTGCAGGAGCTCTGCGTGCTCCTCAGTTTCTTGTTGGGGCACTAACAGCAACCGGCATGGCTATCCGCAGCCTCAGCACTATGCTCTCCTTACCTGTTGCAGGGTCTTCTGCCAGGGAGTTGTACGCAGACGCAAGTCCATTCAGACTCCTGTAACGTGGGCTGATAAGCAGAGTGGGAACAGTCACTGAAATACAAGATTTTCCAAAATGATAAAGTGGGATGTGTTCACAGGATGACTTTAAAAAGGAACAAATGCCCCTTTCTCATCCCTTGTATGAGACCTTTCAAAAACCAGGCATGAGGGAAGGGGAACAGACCACCAAAGTGGATCAGTGCACATCTTGAGTGAGCATGAGKTGCCAAACAGGGCTCTGCATGCAAACAGCAGCAGAGTCTGGTTATTGCTTGTGCAAAGAATCACCTTGTGGTATTAAATGGGGGACAAGTATGATAGTATATAAACTGAAGTACACAACTCAGGAAAAAAATAGAAATGAGACTGAGCARAGAGAAATGCTCACAGAGGCTTACAAGACAACATACGAAGTCCCTTCTGTGTTGCCTTCTCATACTCACCTGCAGTTAGTTCATCTTCTATAAGGAAAGAAGTGTCAGCATTTTCAGTTCCCTCTGAACTTAGGAGTTTACTTAGGAATTCAGTAGTTACTGAAATGAAACAAAAAATAATGCTCATAAAGATCACTGCCTAGGGGGTCTTCATATGCTGTTCAAAACTGCTGGCACAATTCTGCATTATCACCTAAGCAAGAGAGGAAGATTTGCACCTAAGTGGTAGTGTTTGCAGATCATCATACTCACTTATTTGATGTACTTTTTTAATACGTTCAGCACTTAAAAGTTTAAACTGTTTAGCTGTTAAAGGCAATTTATTGTTGCTTTGTTTAGCTGTGGTGCATGGTTATGGTTGGAAGACCAGAAATGCTATTGAAAATCTGTCCTGAAACATTCAGGTCAGAAAGAGCTTCAAAGATACAAGACCCACAAAAGGTACAAAAAMCAGCTATGTGTAAGAGCACAGATCTGTAGAAAAGTCACTAAAGTAGATAAAGCAACAACTTTGAAGTTAGATCAGGTTGCTCAGGGCCTTGCTCATTTCAGTATCTCCAAGAATGGATATTTCACAACACCTCCTAGCTCAGTTCTTAACCACACTCACTGTGAAGCTTTTTTCCTTATATCTAGTGAGAATTTCCCTAGCTGCAGCTTGGGATGTTGCCTCTCATCCTTTCACTGTACTACAGGAAGACTCCCTCATCAGGGAGTTGAAGACAGCAATTAAAATAAGCCCTCCTTTGTGTCCTCTTCTCCAGAATGACACATCTACTCACCTGGGAGATGGYAGAGGACCATCTTAGCAGCCCTCTGGACTTCCTACAATTTGTCACATTTTTTTCTTATATTTCTCTTTTTCTTATTTTCTTGTATTTCTTATATTCACAAGCCAGATGTGAGTCCAGATGTGGCACCATGAGTTTTAATAGAGGGACATGATGTTTTTTCTTTCACCCACTACTTACAGTCTTGCTAGTGTGGCTCAGAATGCAGCTGACCTTCATTTCTATACTCAAATTTTCCAAAATTCCCAGATTTCTTTCTGCAGAGTTGGTTTCTATAAAGTCATCTTGACCTGTTCTGGTGCATTCATCCCAGGTGCAGAACTTCACGTGTATTTCTGTTGTACTTCATAATTTTTCTCTATCCTGTAGAAAACCCACTGAATGGAAGCCCTACCCTCCAGCATCTTGGCCATTTCCTCCATTTTGACATGATATGCAACATTTGATCTGTGTTTCCTTAAATTTACTGAGAAAAAAAAATCTAGCTATCCAGAAGAAAACTTGACAGCTACAATGATATCTATATGGAAAACCTCCGTAGTGCAAGAGACTGACATGATAAAGCAGATCATATATGTTACAAAAAGAAAGAATTGGTTGTGATTACTTTTTGTACCTTCAGGAACATTGACAAATCCTGTTGAGCTCAGCACATAATCATCTTCAGTCATCATGCCAGATGCTTGAAAAACGGTTGAAAAACCTATGGGAGCACTAGTTGTCTCCACATTTTCTGGAAAAAAGTCATTTTCCGTCCTAGTTAATGTTGGGGGAGCAAAGGTCTCCAACATAGTTACTGCTGGGGACTCAGTAGTTGCTGGTGGATCAGTAAGTATTGGAGGAACAGTGACTTCGGTGACAGTTGTTGCTGAGGTACCAACAGTTGTCAGGAGGACAGCAGTCTCTGTTGTAACTGTTGCTTGAAGATCAGGGGCTGCTTGGGGAACAGAAATTGTTTTTCTAAAATTCTGGGGAGAAATGGGAGACTTTACCGTGGTTTTTATCACTGGCATGAAAAGTTATAACCAAGGGACCAGCTGGGTCAGAATATTCACAACTAAGCTTGAGGAAAAAAACAGATTATAAATGAATGAAAATAGAGATATTCTTCACTGGGACTACGATCTTGCATTYGGTAGATGTAGAACATTTTATGCACCACGTTTTCCTACTGATCAGGACAGTTTCATTTTCATGTTAGCCTGTTGCCCACTGTCCCAAGCCTCAGTATAAGAGTAATCAGTCAATCTCTCTTTTCTTTTTTTTTTCCTCAAACAAGATAGTGTCATGATAACACTCCTGACTGCCAGTCATTGCTTGCCAAACACTGATCTGAAAAGWAAGAAAAGAAAATGAAGACCTCATTTTCCAACAGCCATTTAAGTTCAGAAGCTTTAATTTTATTAAAGACAAAGGTTGGGCACAGGTGCCTTRTACATATGCAGCTGTAGCAGTATAAATTTATACTGGAGTAGAAAAGAGATTCAGGCTCTTCAGCATTACAACTAAGAAAATCTAGATAAACAAAAAATGTGTAGATGCTGAAACCCACAGGGAAGATGTGAAAATTCCACTTTGCCCTAAGATTTATGACATTCTTCTTTCCTCCATTTTCTCCACATCTGATAAAAATAAAAGGAACAGCAGTTAAGCAGGAATATCTCTAAATACACAAGAGTACATCTTGGTCTGATGCACACTTCCTACAAATCACAGTTAAATTTTCTGGGTGCATGTTGTATCCTGGATGATGGGAGCAACTATTCGTGGTTGCTTTTCATACCTGAAGGAGTCATGGTCAACTCTGTTGTCTCAAACCTGGTTGTTGCTGGCAGAGTTGTTCCTGAGGAAAGAACCCAAAGGAGGAAGAGACAATAAATCACAGCATGGTCAGCAAGTAACAACCACCCCAGATCTCAGCTAACCCAATCTGGACATGGGGTATTTTAAGGCCATTTTTATTCAAGTAATTCAAGTATTTTTACTCAAGAAAAACTTGCTGGACTGAATAATAATAATAAAAAAATAGAGTTTCATCCCAAGGGCTTTTTTTAGTGCAAAATCTTTTTTTTCCATCAAACACTTTTTAAAAATCTCCAACATACTTTCATGCTCAAAAAAAGCACCTAAGTCTTTCTTTTGAAAAGCAAAAATGTTATTTTCTCATCAAGCTTGAATTKGACTCAAATTTGCAACGAGTTTTGGCCTTCCCTTAAATGTACATTTCTCAATAAAAATGGTATTATGGCAAAACACTATGCCCAGATTTTGAACCTAAGTACAAAAACTTAGTCCAAAGTTTCTACGCATCAACTTGCAATACAGAAAAGGTAAAAAGCTCACCTTGAACCACCCTCAGGTTTACGTTCACTTTGATGTCATTGAACCAGCCAGGGATTTCTATGCGGCAGCAGTATACACCTGCATCTTCTTCCTTCACRTTCTTTATTGTGAGAGATACGTCTCCGTAGGAAATATAGCCATGAAGATTGTATCTCTGAGATACTCTGTACGTCACCCTATTGCCAGTGGTGTGCAAAATTTTGTCTCTGCATTTCGAATTTGGGCACGTGCCCTTGCCCCAGCACATATCTGAGATGTCTCTCCGTCTTGACACCCGGTAGAAGCAAGGCAATGTAACAGATTGCCCTGCTTCTCCTGTAATCACAGTGTTGGAGACGGCGTACACTGTCAAGGAAGGACAAAGAAGGAAAAGTGAGGAATTTTGGCAGCTAGAAGATGCGTGGTTACACCTGTACAACATAACATGGGAGGAAAAGGATTGACCTTAGATCATATCTGCTTGGATTGTAGGAGGCAAGTGAAACCAAACACCCACTAAAACCCTCCATTAAAAGATCTCTAGATCAGAGTCAGTTTACGTGATCCATCCGTGCAAATCTATTCTGGGAAAATGTGCTGCTCCTTTTATTTCTGAGCAAGTCCGGCCAACTGTCCAAGTTACAGACTGGTCCATCCCTTGCATAGCACAGTATCCACATAAGCTTAAGTAACTAGTATAATGCTAATGTAAAAAAGAGAAGATTCACATTATTTTCACGCTACCAACTCTTCAGGATCAACTTGACTTTGTGCTTACAGGCAATATAAAACTCAGCATCTGGTTTGAAACTTTGCTGTCTGCCATTCCCTCTTAAATGTCCGTACAGTTCTCAGATTAGGCCTGAAAGGAATTTCTTCCTCATGAATGGCACTGTACTATGAAGAAATACCCACATACAGAGACAAATCTCTTCTGGTCTTCATTTATCTTTGTCTATGTTCATCCTTTTACCTTCTGCCTTTTTCCCATTAGYGTATGGCAAAGCAGGAGCTGCAGGACACCAAGATCCAGTCCCTACTGCAGCAAGAGAACAATCCCTCCAGTCTGATGTCTCACAGTTGGTTTGTCTGTCCTAAAAAGKAGTCACCGTGGCTCCTGCTGTTATCACCAGTATTGGTCTTGGTTTGCACTACAGGTCTATTTTAGCAGCAGTTTGAATGCCTCTTCTTTTTGACATGYTTCTCAGACAGCAAATAAAGATGATTTCAATAGTGTGTATGCCTGTTTTCTTTTGTCTTTAACAGACTATTCCCCAGATGAGATTTTTTTTCCTGAGGCATCCTGTCTCATGACTTGTTGAGATGACATTTTAGCTTTGTTATTGCTTATCCAATTGATTAGATAAGCAAACCAGTTCAGGTTTCCATAAATCTAAAAGTGTTCCATAAAGGCTAAAAGTGTGGAAGCTAGAACATGCTAAAAAATGAAGCATTAAGCTTTAAAGAACGGGTGCCTGTTTTGCAAAGAATAATAAAAAGAAAGAGGAAGAAATAAGGTACAAGAATAATCTCCAATGCAGTTTCCTAGCAATATTGAGGGGGAAATTTTAGGTTTTGCAATTTCATTTCCTCTTAATTTATGCAGATCTTATGTTCCTGACATCTGCCTTCACTGCAGGTTACTAGTGAATACCACAAGACTCTTGTTTCAACAGTACAAATATCTACACAGGCTAAATAACTTCTACTACACAGGCTAAATGTAGCCTCATTCACAGATGCATTTTCCAAAAGACATATTAAGCAAGATTGAATTCAAATGGCTTTGAAATTTGTAAAGAGGTTCCTGGGACCTTTTATAATGTGACATCTTGTCTTTGGTTGCGACCAAGCGCTGTGATCCAGCACTGAGCTGTGTTAAAAAGAGAAAGGAAATAAAAAGTTGGTTTCACCCCCAGGAGCTCCACATATAACAATGTTTTTGAAAAACACTAAATGGAGACAAYTACCTTTGACATATTTGAGGATGAAAATAGAGTGAGGATAGAGAGCTCCTGCTCCTTCTGCTGAATCCAGCAAAAAACTAAAAACATTATAGAATTTCCTGGCCCACAGCAAAGTGCCCACGAAGCTCTGCTTATACAGCAGAGGTTTGGGATTGCATAAATTTGCCTCCTAGATCTCAGTGAGACACCTTTTGTCTCTCAGTACTCTATCAGTAATCAAACCTTTCCATTACTTTTCAGACTGATTTAAGAACAGAACACTGCAGTTGCTATAAATATTACACTTGATATTTCATTGTGTTAGATGTTGCCTGATTAAATCTAAATCCTAGTCTTCTAAGATGAATTTTCTTGAAACGTCTAAGTAATTTAAGAGCATAGTTCCCATGAGGAGTTCATCAGGCCCTACTGAAAGTTGGTGAAATCATCTTCTTGAGCTACATGTGCAATTTTGAAATTCCACTATTGACACCTAAATGCAAACTCAGAAGTATAGCTGAAGTCAGCATGCTTGTGAGTGGTGACTAGGTCCTAATGTACCAAAGTCCTCTTCTTTGACTTGTATCTTTTTCAGGAATCAGATTTTAAAAGGACAAACAGTGAACATTGGGGAAATAGAAATAACAGAATTTTGAAGCACRGTCTCCCTTCACAGAACTCTATTCATAATGGCAGATAGCTAAGTCCTTCAGAAATTGTTTTAAAAAAAAATACATACACACATTCAATACATTATCAATCTTTCACTTCCCTGATTCTGGCTGTGTTAGTACTGCATTATTGCGGAGAAACAGAATAAGAAGCAAAGGCTGTAGTACAAAATTAACAATGGTAAATTATATAAATAGGGGAAACGAGGAATTAATCAAACCTATACACAGAGGAATGTCTTTAAAAACAACAAAAAATGATCACTATTACTGTTAAAAACTTCTGAAGCTCAGTATACAACTACAGCCTTTTTCACTGAGCGACACAAACAGCTCAAGCACCACCGTTTTTAGTACACTACAAAATTTTTGTTTTCTGAACAAGCACACAGAAAAGCAGCTAAAGACTCACCTATAAAGGTCTGTATCAGAATCCAGCAAAACAACCCAGAACAGGACATTTTAGCCAATGAAGACTTCAGCACAATGACTGGAATAATGAAACACCGGATCTTATAAYTTCAGAAATGCTGAGTGAGCCCTTCTGAAGGACCATTTCTCCATTTCCTCTTTATATGTACTGCATCTGCATGCAGTAGATGCATGTACATGCATCCCTCTTAAGCATATGTGACCTCTCTTCTTCCCCTTCCAGAATACTTTGCATTGTACTATCACCAGAGATTTCTGTATACTGTGTTCAGCCTTTCCATCTGTCTTTTAAGGTCCACTACCTTCCTGTTGTGCTGAGTAGTAAGAACAAGCTCTAGACTCTTAGCTTGGAGAGGGATTAACTGTTCATGCTCCCCAGGACGGCATCAGAGAGAGACTCCATGACCTGGGGGACTCATTAGGCCACTGGAATAGAGGGCATCTCTCATTAATATCCTCATCCATCACCTCTGCTATCATCATCTTCACCTCTGCTACAGGGCAGTAGCAAGGAGCCAATCCCAACAGCCTGGACCCCAGCTCAACCAGAAGACCTGCTTTCTTTCACCAGAACATAGCCAAGCCAATGATACTATTGACAGTTCTTAAGGGCAGCTACCAACAGCACAAAACTCAAAGGCTTTACAGGGTTTGCTCTCAATCAAAGAGACRCTGCCATGCTGCTCTGTACTTTCACGTGCTTTAGCACAGCACAAGCAAGAACCCATGAGGCCAAACACTGCAATAAGCTGTGCTCTATTGTCAATGTTATAAGGCCACTTGACTAGCAATCAGTGAAATAAATGATCTACCGTATTCTACAAGGCAGAGGTCCCAGGGTACCAGGTAGAACAAGCACAAGCTGCTCTACGAAGGTGGAACAAAAGAAACCAGATGTATTCAGCATCTCCAAAGGCTTTTCCCCTGCAATAGCACCATTTCCTCCATTGTTGCTCTGGCCCTGGGCATCAAATGTGAACTGCATGCCGCCCCATAGCCAGGATCCACCCCTGAATCTGGTGCCACGTGGAGAGCAGCTGAATCCCACCCACCCAGAGCACTAGCACAGCTTTGGGTCTTTAGCCAGCTCCCAGTTTTAACAGAAGCTTTAGAAACAGAATTGGCCAGGATGCTCCAGATCACTAGGGAAGGAAGCGGATGAACAGGAAGGAAGCTCCTTATATCAGCTTTGTTTCTTTACTGAGACTTGGCTAACACATGCAGCAGAAGACCCTGAACCCATCTAAAATCCAGCTGATCCAGTGCCTGTTGCTTGCAGCTTATCAGCCTCACAGGCTCCATGTGTGGCTGATTTGCAGCCAGCTAGAGAACCTCTTACTGGGACAACCAACTCCAAATGGTGCTTGCACATTTCTGTGGGTCTCCTTGAAATGTCTGCTCCCAGCTCCACTGATACAAGTGGAAATAATGAAAATGATGAAAAAGACAGAAGAAAATTCTGCCTGTATGCATTTATATTTATATTATGCACAACCTTTGCAGCATCTGTTTGTCCAGTAACCGCACAACTTACAGAAGCAGAAAGGAAACTTTACGAAAGATTTTGGCTATCAAATATTCTAAAACTTCATTTTGTACAAAGACTTTATACAATAAGGACAAATCTGTATTATTAATTTAAGAAAAAAAATCCTTAAAGTCAATCCTCATGGTTAGCTATAGTCAAGAACCATCATCGAAATTTTTATGACTAGTTGGAATCATCTCATATGTTAAAGGAAACTTCCAGATAAATTAGGAAGCATCACACTTGTCTAGCACCGATCCCAGCAGAGATGATTGATTTGGAAAAAGCTATAGGAGACAGATATTGCTGRAGATCTCTTCTGAGATCTGGTTCAGAGATCAGACCAGCCTTCCTCCAGTTCTGGTCACGGTCCAGAGCTCAGAGCAGCGACATGTGCTCAGTCAGGCAGCAGCAAAGTAGTGTTTAAAGTGGTGTCATTGGGTAAGTAATGGTTTAGTATCTGTTACTAATAGTCATGTACGGAAATAACCAAGATTAACAGGTCCATTCTAGTTTCAGTACCTTTTCACAGAAGATAACTCGTGACACGAAGGTATACGCAGAGCTGGTTTCCTCYCCAGCTCTCCTCACACACCTCTGAGCTTCCCTATGCAAAACCTTKTGTGTCAAGTTTCAGCTCTTCACCCAGATGTAAATTTTTCTTTCCAGTTCCAGGTTTGCTCTCATGAGCAGCCCCAAGACAAGGCACTYCACAGGAGGACACATAAAACCTGCCAGGGCCACTGATGCCACCTTGCACTCTTGGCCTTGAGGACCTTTCCCTTTGCACATGCAGCATCCCCCAGTCTATCTCCCTTTCCATCTCCCCTTTTCTGCTCTTTCAGGAAGTCGCCAGCATCTGTTCAAAATRTTTTCTTAAGAATAATTGAGAAAAACTATTCTTCCATTTAAAGCAGAGTTGAAGACTTGTGCTTATTGCTCAACAGTGCCTGAAGGGCTGATTCAACCGCAGAGGGTTGCCTCTGTTTCCAAGTAAATCCACATTTACTTTGCACAGAGCAAAAACTGAGGGTCATGGCTAGCAGAGGAGCTACACAGAAAAGGCTTCAGGCCACATGAGCTCCTCACTATTGAAATAAAATCTAACACATAAACACAGCATAATACACAAAGGGGCATAAATACAGAACTTTGAGGCAATATTTTGTGCAATGTCCACGACTTCTCTACAAGAAGAAGAATTTTAAAACTATTCAGAATAACAGTTTGTAGTTTTTTTTGTTTCTTGTTTATCTACTTGTTTTAGAAAGTCTAATTTCCAGGCTTCTACACCAAGGACTTGTCAGAGCATTTGGAGGCTTGAAGAGAAAGCCATGGAGAGAAATCCCTGTTTTTTTGCAGAGGAAAAAACACTTAGTCAAAGTTTGCTGAAAGGAAGTTATGAATATTCTGCATACCAAAATACTGGTCCTATAGCACTGGAGGACATCCCATGCAGGGCAGAGCACCAGCAATTACTCCAGATTTAACTGCAGATAGACAGAAATTAGTACATTGCCTAATTGATCCATTACCATGAACAGATAGATCCAACTTCAACTACAACAAAATCAGTGAAATGTATTTTGACATGCAAACATTACCAAGTCCTTCCATACAGTCATCTTTGCCATGGCAACTACGAAGTCAGTCTCACTCTCAGACTGCATGAAGTGTTTTGTAGCCGATAGATAGAATACATACTGAAAACAATAAATACAAAAAAAAATGTGTGTGGTTATCCTTTTCCTGACTGAGCAGCCATTCTAGCACTTCCTCTTTTTTTTTTTTCTCGTCCTAAAACAAGAAGAAATTTGAACCAGACAATAAATAGCAACTTTCCCTCTGTTTTGGTAAGTGGATTCTGAAGACAATATTTGCATTTAAGTCAGAAAGAGTTCCCTTTCTGGAATATGTTGATAAAGATTTTACTTAGAATGGGAGCTTTTATTTTGCTTTATTAGAATGAAGTCAATTATGTCAGTCAGCCATTCACATTTAGCTGCTGAGTTTAGTGAGCAACTAACATTTTGCAAACTATTTAATGTCCCAGTGATGAAAAAGGCAAGCACGAGTGCATTCCTTAATGTATTGTATAAATGTTTTCCTCTGCRTGCACCTCAACTTCTAGGCCATTTTGATTCCCTTCACGCTCAGATCTCCAAAATATGACAGAGCTGCAAAAAGAGTAAAACACATTGTCAAACAACAAGAGGTAATGGAAATGCAAAAGTAATCCAGATAGCTAAATCAATCAGCTCATTGGAAAAAATGTAAAATATGCAAAAACACTTATTAAACACAAATAATCATGAATCATCTCTCTTTTTGTGAGACAACCCACACAAAGTTTTCATGTTCGTTAATGCAATGAGTTCTTCCTTATTAACTAAGGATGAGTAACCAAATTCATTAATGCTTCCTATTTACTTAAGATGAAAAATCCAATTAAATTATGCAATTGAGTGAATAGTCAACCTGTGTCTAGGAGGAATCACAACAATTTCTGTRACTTTTTTCCTATTAGCTAAAGCAGAAACAGGGAAGAGAATACTTACTTGGGAAAGTTGTTCAGTTTCTTCATATTGTGTAAATAATCTAAAGATCATCCAGAGTGGAAAAGAAGGAAGAAAGAAAAATAATGTTCTTTAAAACATCAGAAGGAAAATAACAGGTTCACCGAGGAAAAATGTGCTAGAAACTAAACAAGGGAACTTTAAAGCAGATGCTTTTAGTATAGGAAATCCCCATTGTTTCTATGAGGTTAAAAAAAATAGCAAGATCCTCTAAGGAAAAAAGTGCAGGCATTCCCCACCCTACCCACCTCCGAATGCTCTTTGCCGAGCGGTACTTACGTCTACCGAGAAACAGAGCCAAAACAAAGATGACAAGAAGCACCACAGATATGCCAATCCCCACGTAGATCCCTTTTTCCGAATGCTGTGCGCTGTGAGCCGATACAGACGCATTCTGTCAAGCATAAAACAGATGGGTATTAGTAGCACTAACAGAAAAAGAAAATCTCATGACCCAAAGGCCATTTGCACATTTTGCAATCCTGCAGTAAAAATACACTTGTTTCAAAGAGCCACATTGCTATATATAGCTGTATGAAACATGCTGTTAGATGTGTTTTTTCTTAGTATTCTCAAAAAAAAGTTGAAGTTATGACAAAAACATTCATTTAGAATTACTTTTATTTAGTACTTTATTAAAATGCCTTTTTTTTTTTTAAAACCATCAGTTTCTTCAGTATTTTTTCAAGGGTTTTTCCTGACTACTTTCTTCTCCTCCTTATTCTGGTCTTTATTCATGCAAGGCTTCTTTCTGAAGGCTGGACTTAGATATCTACCATCTCATTAGGAACTCAGTCTAAGAAGTTGAAATACAACTTTCTCTCTGACTTACATTCTGCACATGTGACAATATGAATGTCCCTACATGTACTACCTTGAGGAATTTAGCATCAGGTTTTCCTAAAGGAAAACTTGGTTGTCTTGCCTTCTTGTTGGATGATGCTACTGCCCGGTAGCCTGAAATGTGCTGGAAGACTGAGTTTCAGCAGAAAGACATGAGCTGTCTCTCATCACGCTGCATGCAGGGTGCAGGCCGATGCCCAGGCTATCAGGCAGTCAGTTTTCAAGTCCTCCCCATCATCCAGTCATACCTGCAAGTCTGTGGTTATATCTGACCAGTCTGAGAAGAAACTGGTGATTAAAGAGGGATCGTAGACCTGAAAGCCAATATAAATGTTGCTTTAAATTTTCTGAATTAATAAGAGGAAGTAATTTTTGCTTGTAAAGCAAATTCATTCCCCCCCCCACCCTCTAGTAACGAGCACATAAGCAGTAAAAGTGCAGACTATGAAAAAAATATTCTTCTGCAATCAAAACAAAGCCCTACAAATGAACCTTAGAGATGACCCAGGAAGTCCCCATATCTAATCGCTTAATCTAGGTATGTTATATTACMACGGAGATGCTTACAGTCTGAGGATCTTCTGATGGAGAAGCAAGTGGCCATGTCGTTGTGACAGTAAGGGATGAGTCACTGGCAGTCCAAGGAGCTGAGCAAAGGCAAGACAAACCACATGTCACTTGCAGAGAGCCATTCTGCCATGACAGAGAGGAATTTACACTGCTGACTTTGAGCCACCTATTTAAAATATCCAAATCAAGAGTTTTGGCTTTGTATATCTTCAAGGCAATTTGTGCCTTCAGAGGGCAGCTGAAAACTCCTAGAATGGGAGCTTCCACTACCCTTTTCACTGCTTGGAATTTCTTCCTGGAAACTCTCAGTTTCAGCACAGGAATGCAAAAATTGAATATCTGAACACAGGATGCAGAAAGATGGAATTCCCAAGATGGACACTGGATTTCAGCCAATAAGAGGTAGCTGAAGGCGTAAAGCAAATGTACTTAATCTGATGCACCTGCTAAGATTAGTTCAGGGCCTTGCTAGATTAAGTGGTATGAAGTTAGAGAAACCAAGTGATACTGCATTATGCAAACAAACCTCAAACTGCCCACAAACAACTACATAATAAACAGGCTAAAGCATGATATGTTTGAAAAGGACCTGCAGTATAGCTCGGGGTAATTTCCAGATAAGAGTGAGAAGAGAAACAGTCTGAGAAAGTTTTCACTTCTTCTTTTGAAAAGGAAATGCAACTGTTTCAACATTTCAGAATGCTTAAGTGGAAACCTCTGGGACTGAGGGAGAATGAAAATGGCATTACTAATTTTTATCTCAAAATCCTGATAAAAAAATGTTATCATTAGGCTATGAACTATTTTTTATGTACGGAAAATTGCCTTTTTTTTCCCACTCAGACTGAAAGATACATCTGAGTGGATATATGACAGAAGTCTATAAATTCATGAGTGGAATAGGGAAATTAAACAAGGAATAGTTGTTCCCTGTCTCTCGATACGAAGAGCCTTGCATGAGATTATTAAATGTGCATACACACACTGCATTCAGGGAACCACTGAGACACAAGGGTAGGACACAGGAAATTAGGAGAATACTTTGGGGATGCATCACAAAATTTCTATGCTGTTTCTGTGATCCTCTTTAACCATCTGCTGTTGACCATTACTGGAGATCACACTCCCAGCTAAAGGCACCTTTGAACTATTCTAGTAAGAACTGCTTCAATTAGACTGTCTCATGTTGCATTGAACTGAATGWCAAATAAATTGAGCCCCTAAAAAATTTCTGATTCACTGTTCACAGAAYGCATTTTCAGATGACACAGTGAGATCTTATACCACATGAAGAAAACAAGACAAAAAACCAACTACCTGAAGAAAGCATCACTTGCAGCACAAATAAAATGACTACTCAAACCTAGCACAAAAGTTAGCATCCAGGAGCAAAATACCTGCAGGGTGTATATGCCTCTGCATTCTCTATATAATTTCAGGCAGAATTTATAGGCCAGGTTCTGATCTCRGCTCCCATAGTAATATTTAACCTATAGTAATTGCAAACAGTGATTTTCTATCATCTAGTACTTATTTTACATTCTAACTTGCCCATTGCCATGTAGTTTATATATGCCATTGAAATTAACACTTAGATAAAAGTTACCTGAGGTCTGTTCAGAGGTGTGAGTGTGAGGACTTGGAGTAGTGGTCCTAGCTGATGTTAAAAAATAAAACAAAACCAGCATATGTTATAATTAATGTTAATATGCATAGTTAACTTTAATATGCACACAGGCAGTGAGAAAGTGTTATAAAAAATGTTTCTATAATAAAAACYTTAGCAGTAATTACATAATCACATCTGTCACCCACTTGATCTATACATTTTTTTCTTTCTATAAGCAGAGAAAAACTAAATTCAAAGAGGGAATTGAGGTAAATTTTGTCTATATTAGCTATCTCTTTGTATGCCTGGAATCCATCAGGAAAGATGAAGTTCTGTCTTCTGTGAAAAGGGTGCAAGTATAGTGCTTCACTGCAGAGTAAAGCACCCTATGCTGTCCTTGCCCTTGCTTTTTATACATAATACCTTAAGAATCCTGATCAGTGCTGTGTGTCATGAAACCAAAGCAAAGGTCTTGCTGACTTAGTGACCATCCTGAGACCACAATAACGKCAAACAGTACCACCAGTAGCTCCCCAAAGTCCTAAGGATCAGTACTATGGATGATTATAGAAACCATTCCAACACAAACCATGAAATCCAGACTCTACAGCAGATTTACCCACAAGAGAATTCCCACAATACAGCACACCTGCGCTCACCTTTCTTAATCACAACCCTGTAATTAGTTGTCTGATCATTGAACCACCCTGGGATCTCCACGCGGCAGCAGTACGTCCCGCTGTCCGATTCCTGCGCGTCCACTATTGTGAGGGACACGTTTCCCCGTCGCAGGTTCCCTCTCAGCTGGTACTTCTTGGAGCGCTGCSTTGTCACCTGCCACCCGTTTGTCCAGATAATAGTGTTTGAACATTTTGAAGAAGGGCAGGGGCCACGGCCCCAGCACATCGTTGTGATGTCCGCATCCCTTGCAACACGGTAAGAGCAGGGCACAACGGTATTGTGACCAACCACTCCTGTCACTGTCAGTTCTGACACTGCAGAGCCTGTGGGCAAAAAGACAAGTGTATTTGTTGAACAACATGTGCATGGGAAGAAGCTTCCAGAGCTCACCTTACATGCCCTACTACATCCCRTTGCTCCTGTAACGCTTGCACAGAAAAGACACTAGCATCAGCTTTGTGGCTTTCAGCAGTGGCCAGTCTGTTCTTTATTTTAAGCARATTAATTCAGTGCACACATAGGTGGAGCTGACATTTTCTTTCTTTAAAAGCACTGTGTTCAAAGYATTCCCTTTCAATTAAAAGTCACTGAACAGCAGATTTCTTCAGAATGATCATTGCTGAARACGTTTCTTTTCAGCTTCTCTAAAGACCGATTGGTCTAGTCTTTATTTGCAGAGATTTTTCAGAGATCTTCCAGGAAATTTCATACCTTCTTTATCTTTTTTCCTTCCTTTATTCTTATGACATTTCTAACTTGCTAAGTTCCCACTAGAGGTTATTCAATGGCAATGCATCTTTTCAGGTTCACAGAAGGCTGTCTCAGACTGATAGATCAAAACATCTAGCAGTGTACCTATTACAGTGAGATGGTTTCTTCTGCTGTCTTTAAATTACTCTGGTCAACATTTCCTTGAGGAAGATTTTCATAAACAGTTGTGTTAAGTCTGACAGGCAAAATCATTCATCCTCTGGTGATCCASACCATCAAAACCAGTGTGCAGCTGCTTTTTTCTACCAGGCTATACAGCGCAGTTCCTGGGGTACATGCTCTGCCTCTAAAGAAAACAGTTTGCCACATACCTACTATAGCATAATATTTATCAAATTCAGTAACATTGGAACAAATGCCTAAAAATTTCTGTCTGTGTTATCTTTTCAGGGACAGAGTTCTCTGCAGCAGCTACTGAAGGCCATATTTTCATTTTTTAAAAACACAAATATTAGAAACATTTTAGGTACAAATATTCTCCCTTAAAAGTCATCATCTGTACATAGGGAGCTCCTGAAGCAGGTCAGCCAACYCGTTCTGGTGGATCCCAAGCATGATATGGCTTCAATACAATTATCATTCACAGAGGGGCTGGCTTTCCCAGATCATCTCAGTCATTTTTTCCAACCTCAACTATCTTAGTTATAACTAAGWCTCATGCAGCAACATACTAGATATCTTGATCTCTGAAAATAGGCTGTATTTTATTTAATAAAAAAAATGCAAGCTGTATATAAATCTCAGCAGAAAAAGTTTATAAAGAATTAGAGAAAACAGTACCCATAATATTCCTTGTCTGTCTACTGAACATATCCTATCACCAAATTTTTAATGTTTATCTGCTTGCACTCTTCTGCAATCCGTTGTTTCCACTCTCATTGTCTTTAACTATAYTGTCCTAGGAGGACGGCTGTTTCTCAAATGAATAAAAAGAGAAATCATTTGTCTATTACAGTGAAAAGTTCCTGTCAGTTGAAACACACCAGAAACCACCGGTAATTCAAGTTTTCTTTAACTTTCTAAGCCTTCACAAAGACTACTGAAGAGAAATACTCGTTTCACATCTTTTCTAAAATGATTCAAAACCTCTAGTAACCTCAGGGCATCATTCCCTTCCCCTCCACACACCCCAAAATAGGGAAAAAAATCTACTTAAGACTACTTGCCAACAGGAATAAAAAATGGCCTCAGAGAGTGTCTTTAAAAGCATCATACCCGCAATTTCATCTTAAAAACCAAAATCATCAGAAAAACAGTGAGCTGCTGTAAATAGGTTCTATTTACAAYGCACAACTGAAGTTTCCCCAGCAAATTACGCCATGTGACCCCGCCCCCCTGCTTATCTTGATATCAAAATCAACTCCATAACCAGCAGAAACACAAATGCTGGAGAGCTACCTGCATCTGTTTGGTTCTTTTATGCTYTTGTAGTTACCTGTAAACCAGATCAGCAGCATCCAGCTCAGGGAGGAAGGAGAAAACATGGTGGCTGAAAGCGAGGAAGGACTTTCTTGTGCGTCCTCCGGGCGCCCACATTCACACAGACTAGTTTCCTTCATCACTTCTGCTTTTACTACCTCAGTATCGGTGCGTCAGCTGCACTTGCTACTGCTGAGAAAGCCCTTTAATCTCASCAGGATTGCCTTTCCTGTGGTTAGTCCGGGTCTCTTGCAGCACAGTGAAGTCCTGCTGCTGTTACTGCACCCAGAAAGGCTCTCATTGACCTCTGCTCTAGCCAAAAGCTAAAATACTACAAACCGCTTCAGAAGACTATTACTATCTTCTTTTGTGGTTGCTTGATGGCAGAGGATGAAATTCTTGTGAAGCACCGAGCACTCAGTGTTGTAATCAATTTTGTCAAAATTTTTGATTTCTTGATTTTGATTTTCGATTTTTTGATTTTTGAAAGTCAAAAAAGGAAACAGCATAAAAACTTGCTAAAACAAACGTTATCTTGGCTTGACTGCCTTACATAAACTGGCAGTTTGACTGCTACTAGGAGAAAATGAACAAAAATGGGATAACATTAGCAAAGAACCAGAAAAACACTGGCAATAATAGCAAGAAAGAGCAGATAGAGGCAGAGATTTTGGTACTTGGTACCTGGAAGCAGAATTCGGATTTTAAAAAATCCTTTTTGTTTCCTCTTGTTTTTGGGAATAGCCTGTAGACAGTTGCTACAGGCAGAATTCTGATATAAAGCTGATATATRATCCTGAAACTGCTCAGCGCAAAAGAAACTGAACCTGCCTCACCGAGGCCCATGACCCAACAAAGCCGTGCCAGGTACGTGGTGCAGGCTGAAGGCCACCTCCTGGTGGCTCAGCCTGTGAAKGACACTTACCTGCTCTTTGCCAACACAAGTTTCTCCTGCAAGTTATCCAGCAAAAGCAGATGGGGTGTAGGGATCCAAACAGATTCTTCCTTTCCTTCTTTATTACAAGCCCAGACATTACTTTTGACACAACTTCAAGTGGTTACTCTTCCAATAAAATTTTGCTTGCCATCTTATATTAGTTTTTTCTTACTGAATTTCATAAAGAGTATGCAATTGAATATATATAATACAATTGTGTAKTAATATTTCCAAGACAGAATCTTCCAAATGTTTTCACTGTGTTCAACAAAAATATGAATTTGGTCAGATAATGAAAGACAGCAGCAGGTTAATTAGCATCACTGTTTTTACAAAAAAAATTGTAACAGAAAAGGGAAAAACAAACAAACAAACAAACAAGCCAAAACCTCATTGCTTTAATCTCCCAAAGAAAGGAAAAAAGCTCTAGAAGCTTTGGCCAGAGAGGAAAAAAAAAATAAAGCCTAGAAGCAACAGATAATGTTTCTCCCCAATTGTGCAAGTATTTGCTTCAAAGATGGGCCTCCCAAAAAAGTTATTTTTTAAAAAAAGAATTTTGGAGGGAAAGTGAAAACTGCTCAAGTATTTTTTTAAAGACATTACCTTCATTTATCTCAAAATTTGTTTCACAAGTTTATTGCAATCATTAGTGGTTGCTAGGACACAGCTTGCAGAGTACTTTTAAAACTATGGTGCCCAGACCTACGACTGTATTAAAAACATAAAAATGAGACAAGATCAGCAGAAAATTAAACATCTATGACTTTTTTCCTCTGAATGGCCAAGTTGAAATGTCTGTGAGAAACTGGAGCTCCATATTACACTCTTACCCAGCAAGGACTAAACTCTTTCACTCTCAACAATTTTTTAGTTACAAATAAACCATATAGTTTAGATGTAGCCCAAGGGTGAAGAAGAAAACAAGCCACAGCTGAAGACAGGACAGGAAGGTAAGTGGTAACTTGCTGTRAACTTATTGCTGTGTTTGACAAACACCTGTTTCCTCTTCTTTATGACTAGCAAGTCACATGCACTTAATAAAGTAGCTGATTCTCTCACTGGTAACCCAAACTAACAGTTCACATGCGTCACATCCACACACTTGTTCCTGATGAAGTCACCTACAGGGAGCTCTATTTGCATCACCCAATAGCTAAGGCTTTTGCCTATTTAAGCACACATTTCTGAATATATATCCAAATTAACTAGACAAGATAGAAAGAAAAGACCACAAAATCACRGTGAAAAACAGTCTGTGCAAGTTCCCTCATCTAGGAGGTTTATGATAGTTTTTTTTACACAGAGTTCGGAAAATAGGTGATGCATGGCAAAAGGACAGAATTAAGATCTCCCTGAAAGGAGGGACAGGCRAAAGAGACCACCTCTCCATTCCAAAAACAAACACACACAAAGGGAAGAAATACATAGGTGTTTTTGTAACCTCACAAACAGGTATGATTTACATGTAAGAAAACAAAATTCCAATTAATTTTTACTCAATTCATTCCCAAAATTCCAGTATCCCCCCCACACACCAAAAGGAAAAATTACCAGTTTATAACACATTACATCCATAATGAAGTAATTTTAGGCTCTTTTTGTATAATCATTTTTCATAATTTCTGTTAGAGAAACAGATTTTGCAGATGTGGTCCTAACTTTACTTTTAATCATAAARTACGTACTTCAGAAAGACCCATCGAAAGTGTACACAAGTAAAAATTACCTTAAAAGGAGGAAAACTAAAACAAAACATCACACATTTGACAGGTCCCTTACTTGCCTCCATGCTACCTTGTAAAACACAGAATATACCTCCAAAACAAGCAGTGTGACAAATGAAAGTACACTAAAAAGACTAAATTTAATTTGTTGCTTCCACTTCACATAATGCATTTAACAAGTATATACTTTTGTTCACACAAATTACATAAAAATACTAGACATTTCCATCTGCCCAGTCATTCACAACACTTCCCATCACATGTAAGACAAATGCTCTTGGATTGTAAAGCAGTAAATTAAAACTTGCTGGTACCAAAGATACCCCTAGAATTCATTCTGCCCCTGCTACAGTGAACTGGTTAAAAAAAAAAGTATTTTTTTCATGTCATTTCATCAATAATGCTACACATTGCTGCATCTTTGTCTAAAACCTGATCTCTCTTGCAACCAGAGCGCTCCCTCTGTTTCTCACTCTGTCCAAGGCAGCAGCTGCCATCATCAACATCCATGGGCTCTGCCTTCACTCTGAGCCCTCCCTCCGAGTGAGGCAGATCGTCAGGCAAGGAGGCCAGGCAGTTCTGAATCATCTCCACAACTCGCTCCAAGTGCTTCTGAAATCGCTCGGCTGTTTCCAAACGCTGCCGTTTCTGCACCTCCATCATGACCCTCAGCGTCTCCCTCGCTTGGTGAGGGCGATACTCGTTTATAAGGTGATGGACGTGAACAAAAAGCAGTTTTAAGTCTTCCAGTTTCTCTTCTCGCTTTATACTCCCTGGACTCCTTATCAAGATATCCAAGAGGTCCAAGAAGTTGACCAGAATAGACATATTAAGTTTCCTTAGCTCCTTCTTGTGGTCAAACTGCATAGGATGCAATCGCTCAATCCCTTGGCTTTCCAAGGGCCGAATAATCAGGTCATCACACTGAAACTGGTTACCAAACATCATGTAACTGTCCTTCACAGGGGGAGGGGGCTTCGGGGCCAGGCCCTTGCGGATATTTTCATCCGTATATTCTTTAATGTACTGCATGGGCGGCGGAGGGAGAGCGCTCACCTGCTGGGGTTCACCCATCCTGCGGGATGAAATCACCTGCGGAAAGGCCCGAGAAACACCCGTTAACGGCACGCACTGCAAAAGAAGCGCCGCAGAAAAGAGGGACCCCGGAGCAGGAGCCCCCGGAGGCCGGGAGCTCGGCAGCTCCCRGACACCATGGTTAGCTCCCTAGAAGCGCACGAAGACTCTGCCTAGAACCGCAACCGCCACACCACGGCCCAGAGCCGCGGCGGRGACAGCGGCGGGCCGGGGACACCCGAGAGGGCCGGGCGGGGAGGGGCGGAGAGGCCCGTGGTGGTTGCCAGGCGGCCGCTGAGGCCGCGGAAGAAGCACCGGGCAGGGGGTAGAGAYGGGTCCGGTGGCGGATGGCGCCCGGGGGACACCCGAACCCCGCTCACCTGCCCCTGCCGCCGCCACTGCCCTCAGCGCCGCCGCCGTCACCCACTTCCGTCGAGTCGCTCCTGCTCTCCCCCCGCCTCTTCTTGGCTGCTTCGCACTCTCATTGGTCACTMCGCACGCCGCTCAGGCGCTTGGCCCACTCAGTGCGCTGCTTTCCCCGGGGGGGCGGCGCCAGTGCGGCGGCGCGGTCGCTGGGCGAGCGCGTCATGGCGGGGGCTGCGCGGGCTGCGCTCCGTGCTGTCGTGGCGGCTGCGGCCGCTGAGCGGCGTGTGCCCCGCGGGGCCGCGGCGGAGCGAGCCGGGCGCCGTAACGAGCCCCGGGGCCCCGCTGGTCTCCTTAGCCCGGCTTCTGTTCGGGCAGGGCTGGCAGAGGAGCCGTGGCGGGGCTGGAGTCACCTCGCAGGGGGCGCCAGCGGAGCGAGCGGCCCTGCCCGAAATGGCGCCGCGCGAGGGGCCTGTCCCTGGAGCCCGTGGGGCCTCGTCCTCAGCAGAGGGCAGCAATGAGCTGTGAGAGGCACCCGCCAGGGGCGGAACGGCTGGAGAGGAACTTTGCCGGACCGTCGTTTGGAAAATAAAATAAAATAAAATAAAATAAAATAAAATAAAATAAAATAAAATAAAATAAAATAAAATAAAATAAAATAGTGTTTGGATTGAGTGGTAAATGATTTCTAGAGGTCCCTTCCAACCTTAAGCATTCTGTGCTTCTGTACTGTGCATCCCGCTATTTATAAACCACTGAAAAAAAAAAACCCACCTAAAAATAGTTGAGTTCATTTGGCTAGAAAAGCTGAAAGACATTCACAGCACGCGTTTTGTGCCCCATTTATGTACTGCAAATCGCACAACCTATTTTTTAGTTGAGGCAGGGCTGACGAGTGCAACTCCAACAGTGAAATAAACTGACCTATTTTAATTTGTAAGCAGGGTAGATTTAGAGGAGGGAACAGACATTTGTTCTCAGTCAACTGAGKGAAAAGCTCAATAAAACACCATACTYGGTGACTCCGTGGGGAAGATGGTGGAAGGTGASACCSAAGGACAGTGGTCTGCAGACTCGCTGAAGATGCCTCTGCCATTATTAAGTTTACATGTTATCAAAAGTTATGTTGCTGATGGCTTGCTAGGGGTTGCTGTCATGATGTTGCATTATGTTGCTTAGGTTCTTATCCGCTCCTTACTTGAAGGTTTGTCCTTTTAACCACAAGGGTTATCTATCTATCTATCTCTATCTATCTATCTATCTATCTATCTATCTATCTATCTATCTATCTATCTATCTCCCATATTATAATCACAAGAATAGGCTCAAGGATTTCTTTTCATTAAGTAACTATTAAAGTAACTATTACTTAATGAAATGTGGCTTGTGAAAGCCACAATTTATACATGTTATCCAAAGGATGATATCCTTGCCATTTGGCAGTGCCTTACAGCTTGGATGTAGGAAAAACTGGTGATAAATTCATTTGGGCACACTCCCTATTCTTATAGTCCTCAGACTGCCAGATTGATGCCAAYATAAGCGATATTTTCACATTCTCTGCCTCGATACCAATGGTTCTACTGAAGAAGTGAGACAGAGGTCCTTACATTGAGGATTTTGAGGTCCCTGAAGATGTGAATTAATCCAGTGTTCTTTTCAGAAACACATCCATAGTGACTCTGAAATGTCACAAGCACTGCATAGTATAAGCACTGAAAGGATTGTTCTGTCTCAGGGGGTTGCATGCAGAAAGTGCTTATTCTTTGCACATAAATTTCTTAATGAGAAACCATGTGGGCAACAAAGTGCAGAAGAAATAGGACAGGATAAGGTGGTTTGGCCATTCTGGTTTTAATTTTCAGCATTTCCCCACCAACACTGTTTCCCTCTGCCATATAGGACATTTCAAGATAAATATTGTGTGCTTTAACTTCTTTTGACAGTCAAGATTTTAAAAGTAAGTATTTTAATGAGGATTAAAATGTTGTCACCTGTTCCCCTTTTTGTACCACTGTTATGGATCCCACAGTCTCCAGAGATTGAAGGAATGCTTTGGCTTGGGCATTGAGCTYGGTCTCTGGTGGTCTCCCCTGCCGCAGACTTGCTGTATGACATGGACAAATTATTCACACTCTCCTGGTTAAACCACAAGTTCTGTCAGGGTCAGCAGGAAGATTTAAGCATCACTCAATCTTCATCTGTATTCAGGCAGAATACTACTTCACTTCTTTCCCTAGCTAATGATATTTTCTGTTTAGGATCTAAGCAGCTTGGAGGAGAAAATCTTGTGCTATCACACAGAGGGATCCTAGATGGCTTACAGCTTTTTCTACATGGTAGAGGTTTCTAAACACTATTCCAATGCACACAAACAATTCTTTTCAAGAAGGGAAAATAGTCCAGGGTGGGGATACAGAATCCACTAGTGCATAGAAAGCTGACAACATGGTTTGCACATGCAGAGCAACGGTGTGTTTTCACACACCCTGTGTGGGACCCTTCTGTCTCAGCTACAACTGAGCTAATAAACGGCTTGCTGGGTTTGAAAGGGAAGGTCTCACTCCCTTAATTCTCTTCTCCAGTATTTTCTCCGTTCTCTCCTTTATTCCCTTGTCGTCCATCAGCCTCCAATTCTGACTATGTGTGTCTTTTTTCCCACCACTTTTTGCCAGCTCTAGCATTTATTCAAACCCCACAGACTCCATGGTCAAAACATGTCTCTCCTTTTCTGGATTAAATTTTCCATTCTTCTAGTGCAGAGTCAACTCAGTRCAATCAAGTGAATGTCCGTGTTGGTTTTTAAGCAAGTGATGAGAGCACAGGCAGAAATAAGGGCAAAGGCAGGGGAGATGGTGACAGGAATGACTTTCTTTTCAGTGGCAGCAACCTGTTAGTCTCAAACCATCTTGTGACATCATACCCTGAGAGACAGAAAAGGGATAAAAAGCACTGCCTGCATCATGAGAAAGCCCATCAGGAGGTGCTGAGGTGCTTTTGGTTTTATTGGACTTTCCAGACTGATTACACATTCTTGTAACAAAACCTRAACTTGATGCTCTACTGCCTGGTACTGTGAACTATGCAGCAAAGCTGTGAAATACTTTGACTTCAAAAAATAGGAGACAGTGGGCAACCAAAAGCCTGTTTTCTTTTACATGATTTCTGTGATCTTCTTGAGTCATTTTCCCAGACTGTAATGTAATAGCCAAGACATAGGAGATAAAATGTCAACTAATGAATGAAGAAAAAATGCTTCAGTCTCATTTTTAGTGGCAAATATCTGATTCGCAGAAGGCACATGGATGACCCTTTCCAAAGCATGGGGAGCTGTTAACATTTATTTTTACGATGGTACCACATGAGAAATGAAGAAGGATGGTGGATGTCTTGCATACAACTCTACAATTTGCCTTCTGCTGTGTTTCAAGGCTTTTTTTAAATAAGCATACTGTTCGCTGTCCAGTACAAGCTCATAACTGATCCTGCAGCTATTCGTAAAATACAGAATTACTGTAGCATCTCCAAACGGTAGGGATGAACCTGGAAAGTCCTCCAGCAGGAACTGAATCAGTCAGTGACGTAAGAAGAGACCCCAAGAGGTTTTTTTTTTTTTTTTTTGCATTAGTTTAATTTATTTAGTTACGCTTTATGCTAATTTTAGACCTATTGACGTTTCTCATTAGCAGGCGTTTCTTTGTTAATTCAGCAACAATGTGTACAGCATGTGCCATTGGAGTGTGCTAAATTATCTTAGCTGCATTCTGAAGCCAAGCGCTGTGCAAGCACAGACAATATCCACCCCGTCTGTGTGCCAGGTCTAAGAAGATCTCTATGCATTTTTGTATTTGAACGTATTTCTTCCSCTTGGATTTATCCTGCAGTCAAAATAGTAAATAAAAGTCAGGGGGGTTTTTTTGGTTTTGTTTTTTTTTTTTTCCACAAAGTAGTCAGGAAAATAATCCTGAAACGAAACCCCCTTCAAGTCTCTTGTTCATTTTAGGTAAGTGCAGCATCTTGCAGCCTGGTTAAGCAGTGGGCTCAGGAATTTCCTTTTTTGGTGATTATCATAGGTTTTGTTGCAGGGTATATCAGGGAGGAGGAGAAAAGTGGGGTGTGTGTTAGGGTTGAAGGGAACTTACAAAATCTTTATGCCATCTGCTGTGGTTAATTCCCATCTCCCAGTCTCCTGCTGTGGCATTAGGAATTAATGAATTTGTAATTCAGTGCTGTGCTGCCTTTTTTGTCTGATTCCTCAGACTAAAATATCAAATGCACTTCATTAGTGTGCTCAATAATATAGGAGAGATGTTTAGTGTTTCTCTCATGTAAAATTGGGGGCACATCATTCTTCAGGTCACGTAAGAGTTGAACTGCTTTTTGCTATACAACAAAAACTAGATGTATCTGCACAGGTTCAAATCTCAGCACAGAATGTGGACTGCATTCAGCCATGGAGCAGCTATTTCACTACTCATTAATAAATTGACACAGATCGCATTTTAGTACAATCACATCAATGATCTGTGCTATACCCGTATTAATATTTTTGGATATAACCCCCCTACATGGTTATTAAACCAGACATTAATGTTGGATCTTAACATGGTCACAAGTCTGTGCTAACTGTCTACTCTAACTTGTAAATGAAAATGGTTCCAAAAATATGCCTGCATGGAATGAAGAAGTGCTCCTTATCCAGCTATTGGCAACCAGGGTAACTGCACACAAGTCATATTGCCAGAATAAACTGTGGGATTTGCAGCACTGCAGTTTTGCCAGCAGCGCAGTAATGTCTTTGTCTTCAGAAGGAAATAGCAAAGGACAGCAACCAGGATGGCCAGCACTAATAAATAGAGATGCAAACAATCCCCAGTTTCAGCTCAATTCTACATTCCCTCCCCCCTCAAAAAAAGGGTTTTTTTTTTTTGTTTTTTTTTTTCTTTGTTGTTGTTGTTTTTAAATTTCTGCTATGTTGCCTAAGCGAGAAGAGCTGAGCAAGGGATTGTTTGTACCGACATCACTGAAGAACCTGTTCCATCCCTGTGCAAGTGCACCAGAATAAATAAAACATGTTCTTTATGTTACTGCCAAGCTTGGTGAGCCCTGGAATGATTTGCTTCAAGCCTTCAAATCATGGGTGATTCACTGTATTCTCCTAGCAGACGCTCAGAACAAGGCAACTACTTCCCCAAGGCTTCAAAACTGTTCACAGGACAATCTTGGTTCTGGTTTTACAAGAGCAGCTCTTTTGGTCACCGAGCGCAGTGTGAATTCATTCAAAGGTATAGGACCTTGAGGAAAGCTAGATGCCCCATATAGATTGGGCTGATTGTTTGCTTTCCCTACAGCTTTCTGTCTTGTTCTTTGGATGCACTGGAGACGTATTTATTGCGATGATAACAAACTGCAGAAGACATCTGAGTAACCTCAACAGAGTTTCTCAGACTCTTTTAGAAAAGCTAATTAGCAACAGGGATTGAAGAGTGCAGTCTTGGAAGTTGAATGATAATCATAATCTGGTGAAAAGAAGAGCTGGCACCCAGAGAGAAAATATGGCCCAAATGCTACACATGGTAGAAGCCTACAGGTAGCTTTAGAAGAGTGGAGATACACATACTGCCTTCCGGTCTTTTTTTTTTTTAAAAAAAAAAAAACAAAAAAAAAACCCAAAACTTGTCTATATTTAACTTTATAAATTTCTCTGCCGCCCTCAGGACATAAACCTTGGTACCAGAGCAGGATGTGCGGGTGGGGAGATTTCCACAGTCTGCTGCAATAAAAGTATGAACCGCAGAATCTAGTAAATCCCCTAAGAAAAATCCAATCCCTAAAACAACACTTTTCAGAGCAGAAACAGAGCAGTTTCCAGGAGGCAGCAAGGGATGAAGAAAGGTGATTAAGAGAGAAAAAAGAAAAGGAGCCAACTGAGGYCACAGATCATAAGAATAACTTGATCTGTGACCTCAACTTGGCAAGTAGAGAAGAGCATTTAAGTGCGTGCAGCAGCTCAGAAGTAAACCTGAAAAATTACGCTCTTCTGTTTCAAACATTTTAATTTGCCCTTGCATACGGATGGAAATGGGTCAAAGGATACATGCTTAGCAGGCTTTATAAAAGCACTTAAGCAGAGATGTAAGGCCCCTAAAAATCTGTCAGGCTTGTCTCGTCATTGTAAGGGCTGGATTTACAGGGGGATTAAGACACTGAGGACAATTATATTTAATTCCTTTCTTTGAAGTTTACAGAATTGCTGCACCACAAAATACAATGTGGTGCAGATAGCCCTGAACAAAACGAGTCTGTTCATACATTCAGTGCATGACTGCACTGACATAGAAGCTCACCTTTCAGAAGTGGGATAACTGTGTTAACGAGATGTTCCAGCTAGCCTAGGATGTCCGCCTGAAGCCTTTCAGGAAGGCTCTATAGTTTATATACAGCGATGTACAGACTTATCTATACCGCTCCCAGATCTGGAGCCAACTTAGTCGCAAATAACCTGGCTATTCTTAGCTATCGTAATCTACTATGGAAGGGCCCCGAAGCCACTRTTTAAAAGGATTACCTGTTAGTCACCCTGGCAGATTATGACATATGATTTATGCCTGCAATTCATGTCTTGAATTATATTACAAAATTAAGAATGCACCATGATCTTTGAAATAAAATTTCATTCAAATAAATGTAAAGCTTATAAATATATATAAATATATATATAATAAATGTATATTTATATAAAGGGCAATTCTTGGAGTATTTTTTTCTTTGTATGTATGTTAACATAGCCTTATAATTATAAGACTTATAAAGTATCCTCCCTCTGTCCTTGAGTTGCTGTATTCAAATATTTGAATGTTTAGTACACATATTTATTGGGATTAAAAGGGAAAATTAACAYGGATAGATTTTTGTCAAGAGTTGATACAAAAATACACTCATCCCTACCTTCCTGCTCAATTCAACATGTCAGGAATTACTAGGTATTTCTCAGCTGGAACATCATCATCATGATTCACCATGGAAAACTCAGCATAGGTAACCTCACCTTCTGAATCCTGATTCTGTCCTTGATTCTGTCTTGCCTTGACTCTCGCAATGTCTTCATCTCAAACCTCCTGCGTTGCATCACATCATACCATGTTTGCACCATATAAAGTCTATTTGCCAGGCCTCATGACTGAACATTTGATCAAATCGCTCCCCTTTCATATTTTTCCACTAACTGCTTATCTCTGATCGTATATAGAAATCAAGATGCCTTCACTACTTTCAAAGAATTACTTAGCTTGCCCCCTTCTACATACCACCCTTGCTGAATCTCTGCTCTCCCCCACATCCTCTTGTCCCCAGCAGCATCGCTCCCCTTTTAAGACCTGCATGTTGGTTTTACCCTTGCTTTTTTTTTTTTTTTTTTTTTTTTTTTTTTTAATGCAGCAGTGCAATGTCACACCCTTGATTTCTTCTTTATATTCCATTTTTGAGAAGACAACATGAAAATCTTTGCTAAGAGTCTGTTGACTTTCTTGACATAAGCTATTAAAACTTTTCAGAAAGTCCTTAGTACATAATAGTCAATACAAAAAAACAGAAGAATAACAAAGCCCTATGTTCATAACTAAAAACACAAGAGTAATAAAATTATGAAGTTGGTTACAAGTGAAATCTATTGTTGTTATTTTTGATTTTGTACTGCTAACACAACAAAGTCCCATGGGGTTTATGTGGGCACTCTACAGCCTGTATTATGGCTTCGTAGTTAGAAAAGAGAATCTCTGAACCTAAGTTAAACTAGTAAATTCTCAAGCATGAGAAAAATTATGTGCACACAAAAGTAGATCTAAGCAAGTTTTAGAAGAATCTGAATAGTTGTTATTTACAAAGAGCACAATATCGGAACAATCGGAGCAGATGCTGAATTTTCCATACGTGAGCACTGCATAAGGCATGCATGTTTTGTAAAGAATTTGGCAATATGGCCTGAGAAATGATCCTAGTCTTCAAACAGATATGAAATCCCCCTTGGCAGCCGTGATGAATTTTCAGGGCATCACAGATTTGCGTCATTTTTCTTATTCAACCACAAGGGTTCCTTGGAACTCAATCATTCTACTAAGAAATGAAACAGCTTCTCTGGGCTTGCACGTAACATTTCAATATATGTTGCATTTCAAGATATGATGCATCTTGTTCTGCAAGACCACCACAGAGAGATAAATGCAGGGACCAATGGCACAAGAGCTTCTCTATATCCCTGTTCTACTTTTCTTGATTGTTTTAGCAAGTTCTCTTTCAGATATGCACTGAAATCACTAGYTATAAATTATATTCTTAGGGAAACGTAGGGTCTCAATGGCATTGAACAGGGCTTATAAGGAACTTACAAGAATCTCTGGAACGTTCTGCAAAACCAAAGGCTCAATATAACAYAAAGCAGCAAGGAAGGGATCTATTACCTGGTTGTTTGAATGAGACAACCCAGATATTATAGTGAAAAATACTGTTTCCAGGTCTGTGCCCCAAAACTGCTCTATAAAATCTAAGTCTTCATTTAAAGAGTATGCAGACCTTCTATCTATTTGCATATATATATATTTTATATAATATTTGCATATATATATATAAAAATATATATATTATATATATTATATATATTTTATAAAATATATATATATTTTTTACCCTCAAGAGCTGTATATAAAATAATGAATTATCTTCTTTGGAACTTGAAAACAACTTTAAAAATACATCAAAAAGAGGGTATTCCCTCTTCTCCTTAAATTCTAATGTTGCGTTAAAATCTGTAGCCAAAGAGACTTTGTAAAAAGTTAGCACTGGTAGATGATTTAAAGTCAAATAATTTTCAGAACTCGCTAGTTAATGATAATTCTTATCTTACATCTCACATATTCCAGCAGACTTTATGTCTCCAGTCCCCAAAAGCACCAAAAACATATCACTGATAAAATAATACACAAAATATTAAAAATGGAGGAACTGAGGAAAATGAGCTGCATTTGGTTTTAAACGAGACTTTGGATCTTGTCTTCATCCACAGAGTTATTTCGTGCCTGTGTTTCCTGGAACTTTCAACCCTGGGCTAATTAGAGTGTCTCTGGAGAAGTCAGCACTCAGCAAACAGCAACCAATGATAACAAATTAGTTATCAGTTATTATAACCATTTTTATCAGTTTAAATATATAACAACTGCAAATATTTATTCTTCCTTATAAAATGGAAATATTGCAAAATATTTTTTATGGGTAGTAGGTTTAATGCCTTGAACTGCTTTTTGCCTTTGTTTACATATTAGGAACTTGCATGTTATGTAAGAGACTTCCTCAAAATACCTCTTTTTTTCTGTAAAAAGAAATATGGATGTGTGACCTAATCCTAAGGGAAAAGAAAAGATGCTCGTCCTATACATTCAAACGCAGTGTATSCATTTATAAATGTATTTACTAGATGGACAAGCAGGAGGCAGATGCTTAATCATGCCACACCTCTTCATTAATCCTTGATCATTGACTCATATCTGTTGAATCTCCCTGAAGTGTTATTTTTTCCACAACATTTACCTTGGAGTGTATTTCAGCATGCGCTGTTCGGTTTATGACTTCAGAGAGGATGTGGTTATGGTTTGACAGAAAGGAAGCTTTGCTGTAGATGTGAAGATAAAGCTCAAAGCACCTACGCTGCCTTATGAACACCTTTTTTTTTGTTAAAAAACTAACTGCCTTCTTGGTTCTCTGTCTTGGACGGGTGCTCAGCACCTAGGGCAGGCATCCCRTGTCCTGGGAGAGAACCATTCTTGGCTCAGCAATGAATAACTGTGTGCTCCTGGAGGAACAGCTCATCAAAAAATCCCAGCAGAAGAGAAGGACGTCTCCTTCCAACTTCAAAGTGCGCTTCTTTGTCTTAACCCAGTCCAAGTTGGCTTACTATGAACATCGCCATGGGGTATGTCAGCCATTTTCTCTCTCATAATGCAGTTGGAGGAAGGATGAACTCTCGGCTAGGTGTTACTAACTTAATATTTCTGGTCTTTATTACAGCATCATTCACTGAAAATTACAAAATAGTCAAATAGCTCATTCAAAACTACTGGGTAATGGGCGTCTGGTGTAGACGAATAAGACCTAGCCAGTTTATAGAAAGGATCTGATTTTCTTGTAGGAATTTACAACAGGCTCCCACCACTGATAGGTGGGACAGCCGACTGCACCTGGCAGTCCACAGGGGTGCAGGAGTGACCAGCAGTGGCGTCTTGCAGTGTCATGTACCCTACATCTGGCAGAAAAACAGCCACRTGTCTTTACTTTCTCATCTTTTTCTTTAGGCAACAAATTGGTGGTGGGTAGGTCTTAAATTTATAAATAAATTCAATTGTCATATTTAATAAGTCTAGTCTTCAGATCTAGCTTAAAAAGAAGTGTGGTGATGAGATACATGTTTGGACTAGTCATTGTTTCTCCCAGCTCTCATTTCTCTGATTTGCTAAATATGAAATAAACGAGGAGTCAATCCATTGTACTAAGTATTCTAGTGAAGTAAGAATTATTCCCATTTTCCTAGATTTAGCGAGAAGTTTTCTAGGCCTCATTAGACAGTTGTAAATCATACTGTTTGTTTGCCAGTAATCAATGAGCTCGCTGTTAATCTAATCTGTCTAAGTGATGTTACCTTAAACAAATYGGTTTTGGGGACCACGATATAGAAAATTAATTTAAAACTGAAACCGACAAGGAAAGCAAACAATAATGTGCCCTGATGTCGTATTACTACCCAGCTGAGGTTGAATGTGCTCAAGTGTTAATGGCCATTATTACTTGCAAGTTACTTCTCCCAAAYATGTTCAACAAATATTGTACTTACTTTATTTTATAGATGGTGCTTTTCCATATCTTCATATTTAAATAGGAAACATTTGTCACTGCCTATGTTGTCACTACTTGGTTTCAGACTCTCCGTGCCTGTTATCCAGATAGATTTTTTTTTTTAAGATTTTGTATTCTAAATATTCCACTTGATTATTCCAGTTAAAATTTTCAAGGATATCTAAATAATTCAGCTGTAAATATTTAGAAGAATCTTAACTAATGCTTTTTGGTACTTTCTGAAACTTGATGGATTTGAACGGAATTCAACATTTATCCTGCCTAAGTACTTATCCGAAATTGAATAAGTGTCTGCCTGTGTCTTTAGACACTTAAATAGTTTGGAAAATGAGACCCAGTGGCTTTCAGTGGGGCACAGATTTCATAAGTTACTTTGGAAATGTTATCCCCTAGTCTTCCCAAATGTCGATTAGACCATGGCGAGTTACCTTCAAAGGCCCGAAGTAAATGTTTTAAAAGCTTTCAAAGGCAAATTGTTACACTACACATTCAAAATATCAGTTCATGGTGAATGACAGCTGGCAAATACCCTTATACGTAAATGTATATATATTTGTATAGGTTAGGAACTTCTGAAATGTTGATCTCCAAAACCAGACTATAGAGGACCAAATCTTTAGGTGATTTAAAATGCTGTAAGTCCAGAGGCATCAGAACAAGGCAATGCAAAGTTGGATCAGATAACGAGTTAGTATATTTTATCCATTAAAAACTTATATTGCATAATATATAGACAGTTATATGTAAAGTTACATACATATGTATGTATCTTTAGGCATACAGAAATGTTGGAGTGACTGTGGATACATTTATAATTAGAGGGCTGATTTTCCATGAAACATTGATTTTGTGCTCATAAAAATTATCAAAATCAGATCAATAATCAGTAATAGAAGAGCTTAGTAGCAAATAGGGAAAAGACTTGTTAAATGCTTGCAGAACCAATCTTCAGCCTCTTCAGCAAACTTCCCCCAAATTCCTGGTCAGGCCTCCACATAATCAGGTCAGGCCTGTTCTGGAGAGGAAAGCTTAAGGCATGCCTTGCTGTCGCCCTCATGTCTCGTGCTAAGGACTGAGTGGATCCGCAGTGACCGTGTACACAGCCTTGGGGCCAGGGCTAGGAAACTTGTAGTGTYTGCCTGATGCATTGGCCTTGTCCATCCTAGTGAAAGAAGCTGGACCAAGGAGCATTTGCAGGCATGGGAATTGATGATGTGTACCAGGGCTCCTCCCTGGAGACAGTTTTGGCTCTAATCAGACAATTTTAGGGGATGGTAGAGGCCATGGGCCACTTCCACAAGGTAGTCTACATGTGGCCACCCTGCTCCAGAGGCAAGGGGGGCAAAATGCCCCTGGCATCGGCTGCTCTGTGCTCACTGGGCTCAAGGACAGGGACAGGCAAGTTGCCTGCACCAAACAGAGGGAGCCAGCAAGTGTTGGGCTTTTAAAGTATGTTTGCTCCAAGGAAAATCTCTGAGGATGTTTGCTATAAGATTTTAGAGAGCTTCTTTAAGAACACCTTCACCTGGTCCAAGCTATGTCAGTAACACTCAGATAAAAGAATTAGCTGAGCGCTTATCAGTTTGCAAAGTCCTGTAGAATTCAATGGGGTTGCCCTAAAGTAAAGTGAAAGCTCATGTTTTAGGCACAGGCTTACATGTTTTGCCCATATTTAGACCTTGTGAACAACAGGGTTTGGCATCTACTCCCTTTCTCTCTATTTTGACATGATGGGTATGAAAGGATCTTTACAAGTTTGACTGTAGCAATACATAGCACRAAAATAAACAGGCCAGAGTAAAATACAGGATAATTCTGTAAATCGTATCAAAAGCTAATCATAAAGGCAAATTTTTGAAATAACTGGAATATCTTTTTTTTTTTCTCTTGTAACAGCACATAGCTAGAAAGAAAGCTCTTTTCACGTCACGGGTCAACACAAAATGGCCATTAATGCTAATGAAAGGTATTTACATATCTCATTAAGAGAATGAGTCCCTCCAAACTGACCACAATAAGAAGCTATGTCTTCTTGAATTCATTACACAGTGCACAATGCATGGCTGTCTTAGCATAAAGCACATGTGTTCAGCCCCCGTCTTGACTAAAATACATCAGAAGTGTCTTTATAATAACATGCAAATTGCTTCCATGAGCAGAACTTCTTAGTTTGTAGGGTCTAATTTTATATCTACTGTGTATATGAGTAAGTAAGCACATGGCAGTAATTATTTTAACTCTTCCAGTGAGTTTGATCCTCATCATAATAATCTATAATGCAGACACTTGTGTGACTTCCTAGGGTCCCAATATATTTGCATTACTGCAAAAGAAGCAGAGAAGCGAATCCCTTTAGCAGACAAGTGATCTCTGGGACACATTTTCAGATGTACTTGGCCATAACAAAAATGCCTGAACTGGTGAGTTACCTCGATCCTGTTGCCCTAACGGCTTATGATCTGTGGTAAAACTAGCAGACAGGAGAGTAAGAGTTAATTTGCAGGTCAGATGCTAAGTTCATGTAYAGTCTTTGTCATGTCATGCAAACCATGTCTGCCTGGATGAGGACAGACAGAAAGGAGCTGCTCTGCTCAGAATTCAAGCCATCTGTCATCTGAGAGTGCACAGATGTCTGAGGCTGATGCCACACACCAGTATCTGGGCTGCTGTCCTCTCGGATGGTGCCACACCGGTGCTGCTATGCAGGCTCTGGATTGGAGCTGCTTGTTCTCTGCAGTTCTGCAAACTGCAGCGAGTGTTTGGATCCATCTGTACCATCCATGGAGAGGTATTTGTGTCCCTATGCCACAGGTTGTCCCTTCAGAAATACACATCTTTGTAATGCCTTGTCTGATCGGGGCATTCTAAGACTTATTTAGGGGCTGTGAAACTACACCTAACACCAGGGAAGTTCAGGCATCTCCATGTTGTTAAGCTTAATGAACTCATGACACTTGTCTAATTTTTCAAAGAAAGCCATGAAAGAAGTGCAGAAAAAGAAATTCCCCTTCAYTTAGATCAGTACTATTCTTCCTACGCTGGTCAGATACTCAAGAGGTCAAGCAGCATAAGTCAGCCCTGCCATGGGCTCCTTCACTCAGATCTTTGACATTCAGATGTAAACAAGGTACTTCAGCGTGTCTCAGAATTTGCTTTCAGTGTCTTTTCCAGGAGAWAAAAGGACTAAACTTGTCTGAAAAGCTTCTCATAAAAAAAAAAAAAAAGTTTCAGCTGCTGCTGTTGTATTGTCTGTTTTATTTGTGATAGTCCACCTACTTATGGTGACAAAATAACTCTTTGTTGTTGCTTTGGAAAGAGTTTGTTTTCCCCAAGACTCTAATAAGGACTTTGCTTCTAAAGATCTCCATTTTGGTCTTTGCTGCAGTGGCTGTCCAAATTGTTTCTTGAACATTTAATACAATATGTGTTTCTTGTATTCCTGATACCATAACAGGTATCAGTCATGAATACTGTATACTTTCCTATAATGTAAAAATCTTTCATATCAGAAGAAAATCTTTCATATCAGAAAGCCCACTTAGAAACAAAGGATCATTTTTTTTCTCTTTATGGTGACATTGATTTTCTTGTCAAACAACTGTGTTGGTAGGAATGCATCCTACATTAATCAATTTTGCTCTCAGAGAGGACTTGAGACAATAACAACAATGTGCCTGGTTTTATCAGAACTTGAAATAGCAGTTCCGTGAAAATTTGGGCTATTGCTGACATGTGGGCCAAGAGGAAAATGCTCTTATGTCCAGATGATATCTCTACTTAAATGTTTAATATGCACAATCCACGGAAAGGAATGCTTTGCAATGTAGAAACCTTGCAAGAAGGTTATGGTTGCAATTTTTCCCTGCATTTCTTATGTTTTAGGCTCATATAATTCTGAAGACTAAGCAACAGAGCAAGCCAGGAGGAGAAAAGAGTGAACCAGATAACTCTTAGCTTGATGTATAAAGTTTGAGGTCCAGATATACCACCATTCACTTTTGCAGCCTTTTTAAAGAATTATTAAATTTATGTGGTTTTATATTATTTTGATGGAAACACAAT